ATCCATCTACCCCTCTATCTATCCATCCATCCATCCATCCATCCATCCACCCATCCATCCATCTATCCATCCATCCATCCACCCATCCATCCATCTATCCATCCATCCATCCACCCCTCTACCCATCCGTCCATCCATCCATCCACCCATCCACCTATCCTCCATCCACTACAACATCAGTTGTAGTTTTACCCATTTTGCTACTGCAAAATGTGAGAGAGAACATTAAAGCATTGTCTCCATTAATGCCCATCTAGGCGTCCACCACCTCATACGTGGTGGGTTTAGGAGGAAGTTGCACGGCATGCAAATGAGGAGTGTGTGTACCGGTGCTCGGTTGCCTGAGATCACACCCCAACTCCTGCCTAAATGACCTGGGGCAAGTCATGGTTTTACCATAATCGTGGCGATGATAATATCCCTACACCTTAGGGTCGTGAGAATTGAGTGAGGTAATATGTGTATTCCAGGCCATGCACCATCCAGGCAAATGGTGAGTAATCCAAAAAATGTGAGCTTCTATTCCCTGAGAGTTCAGGCAACACAGAGGCTGCAAATGCCTGCCTTCCTGTACTGTCTCCCATCGGGATCCCCCCTAACAAGTGTGAAGGGTGAGCTCGCCTTGGAGCAGCACCCTGTCCCCTGCGTGCATTCTCTGTGCCCCTTCTACACTCCCTTTTTCCATCACAGCTACTAAGGGGTCTTCAGCCCTGGATCTTGCTCTGATGTACCCGCTTCTGGGGGCCCGGTGGACCTCCTCCCACCTCCCCTACTCCCCACGGTCCTTCTGTCCAACGGCGGCCGGCTGGTGACAAGGCTGACCGAGCCATGACCTGCCATGCCTCGTGTCTCTCCTCCTCTTTTGTAGGGAGTCAGACCTGTTCCTGCTGGACAGCCGCACGCTCTGGGCCTCGGAGGAGGGCTGGCTGGTGTTCGACATCACGGCCACCAGCAACCACTGGGTGGTCAACCCGCGGCACAATCTGGGCCTGCAGCTCTGCGTGGAGACCTTGGACGGTAGGTGTCCTGTCACCACCCCTCTGGTTCCGACACAGCCTGTGCTCCTGGACTCACGTAGGAGCTCAGCAGCAAGTTCATGCTTGTTCCCATCCAGGGAGGGCTCGCTCCTCCGACCCCCACCAAGCAGCGCTCGCTGTCCGCGTTTTGATCCCAAGCAAGAGTAGCACCTGCCCCTTTGCAGGAGACGATGACACCGTTGGCCACACCGGGTTGGGCGAGGCCTCATTGTGCAGAGCAAGGTCTCCGCACCAGCGGGCTGGACATCCTCGTGGAAACACAGACTCTGGCCCGTCCCAGGCCTGCACTGTTAAAACCGGCACTTTATTTAAAAAAAAAAAAATGTTTTTTTTTCTAACGTTTTATTTATTTTTGAGACAGGGAGAGACAGAGCATGAACGGAGGAGGGTCAGAGAGAGGGAGACACAGAATCTGAAACAGGCTCCAGGCTCTGAGCCGTCAGCCCAGAGCCCGACGCGGGCTCGAACTCCTGGACGGCGAGATCATGACCTGAGCCAAAGTTGGTCGCTCAACCGACTGAGCCACCCAGGCGCCCCTAAAACCGGCACTTTAAAAAAATTTTTTTTTTACATTTATTTATTTTTGATAGAGACAGAGCACAAGTGGGGGAGGGGCAGAGAGAGAGGGAGACACAGAGTCCAAAGCAGGCTCCAGGCTCCGAGCCGTCAGCACAGAGCCTGACCCGGGGCTCGAACTCAAAAACCGCGAAATCACGACCTGAGCCGAAGTCGGACGCTCAACCGACTGAGCCACCCAGGCGTCCCTAGAACTGGCACTTTAACTGGAGCCCCAGGTGATGCCTGAGCGCACATAACTGTGTGAGACGCGCTGATGCAGGCACCCCAACCTGGGGATATGGGACATCCTGGGTGTCCCGTGCATGGCAGGATGTTGAACCGTGTCCCCGGCTCCTACCCACTAGAGGCCAGTCTGCCCAGAATGTCTCCAACTGTTACCGAATGTTCCCTGAAGAGCCACATTGCCCGTGGTTAAGGACCTCAGCCCTGGTGCAAGGCAGGAAGCCCCTTCCAGGAGACCCCGAGTGTGGTTCTGAGCCCCCAGTACTTGGAGACTCCGCTGTTGGCTGCGTTCCCCTGTGCTTTCCGCTCCCCGCCTTAGATCCCCCGTCTTTGACGAGGGCGGACAGACGGCGAGTGGGAGCCAGGGTGGGGTTAGCTGCGCCCATTTCTTCCCCCGAAATGTGTTTCTTATTAAGTTGGGGGGCGGCTCTGGGGTCGGTAGCTTCTTCCTTACGCCAGCTTTAAGGGAAAAAAAACACACACCCAAACGAAGAACACATTTATTTCAGGATGGGTAATACTTGCCAGTGGCTCCAAATTCAAGTTACAGATGCGTGCACCCGTGTGGACTGGCCCCGTGACCTCCTTCTGTAGCTGAACTCCACCTCCAGTGCCAATGCTGTTCCCATGGTAGTGGACATCTTTTCAGAGATGCCCTCTGGGGATTTACACCATCGCACGTAGATTCTGTGTTCCTTTTATTTATCTGTTTTCCCCTGCAGGCAGTACCATAGTCTAGACAGTGTTGGCCGCCTGGCTTTTTTTTCACCTGGAGACTCACCTTGAAGGTTGGGCCTTTTCAGCCGTTAAAGAGCTTCCCTGTTCGTGTGAAGGCTGTTGTGGGTTTGTGTACGTGTGGAGCGTTCGTAGCTCTTCCGCTCGCTTGCTGTGTGACTTTGGACAACGTCCCTAACCTTTCCCAGCCTCCTCATCCCCAACGCCCAGGGCTCCGGGGTGGTTCTGAGATTACGTGAGTTAATACAGAAGGGGTTTTAAAATAGTGCCCCAATGGGGCGCAGGGGGTGCAGCTCAGAGAGTCCGACTGTGGATCTCGGCTCAGGTCACGATCTCGTTGTTGGGGAGATCGAGCCTCGCGTCGGGCTCTGCGTGGACAGGTATGTGCCTGCCTGGGATTCTCTCCCTCCCTCTCGCTCTCTGCCCCTCACCTTCTCTCTCTCTCTCTCTCTCTGTCTGTAAAACAAACTAAAAACAAAGTTTTAATGATTAAAAAAGGGGTGCCTGGGTGGCTCAGTCGGTTAAGCGTCCTCGTCCGCTTGAGTGAGTGTAGCCCTGGGATAAATTCCTGAAAGGGACGCTGTCTGTGGTTTGGATCAATCAATACGCCCCCCCCCCCCAAGCAATGCACGAGGGCACCCGTTCCCCCTTCGTTGACGGGACACGTTTCCAAACTTGTCCGTCTTTGCTCATCAGGTAGGCGACAAATGGGACCCTGTAGGTTTGCTTTGCTTTTCTCTCTTACCTTTGAGGCTCAGCCCTTCCTCCTGTGCGTGGCCCGCAGCTTTCCTCCGTGTGCCATCCGTTCATACCCTCTGGTAGAGCGTTGGTCTTTTTCTTTATATTCTACGGACAGCTGGCCCTTGGTGCTGGGAGCTGCAAATTCCTTTGCCCGTTTTTACTTTTTCTTTTTACCGTGGTTAATGCCAGGGTTTACCCAACGGATTTAGGTGATGCGCCCAATTTGTATCGCCTTTTCGTTTCCGCCTCCTGGGCTTGGCCACTTTTCTTTCCCATCAGAGGCCACCGCTTTGGCCTCGGGCTGCCTTCTCTACCTGAGATTTGCCTAAGGCCACGTACCATGTGGGACGGGCCGCAGAGTTTAGGGCCACGCTTGTCCTGTTTCCAGTGGTTTGCTTTCTCCCGATGGAGCCCTCCCCCTCCCTCCCCTTCTCCATGACACTTAAGGTCGGGGGCGGGGGGGGGGAGGTGGGGGGGCGGTTCCTAGAAGTGCTGAAGTTTTCCATTGCTACATTTCGAGTTGGCAAGCTATATGTCTGATGGACCAAATTCAGCTTGCAGCCTGTTCTTCTGTGGCCTGTGAGCTAAGAATAGTCCTCACATTTCTAAATGGGCAAGATATCAAAAAAGAAAGACCATTTCATGACATGTAAACTTCTATGAAATTCACATTTTGGTGGTCACAAAGTTTTATTAGTACACAGCCACACTTACTGATTTACATATTGTCTAGGCCTCCTTTTGTGCTATCACAGCAGCGTTGAGTAGTTATGACAGAGACTCTGGTCCACAAAGCTGAAAATACTTCCTATTTTCCAATGATTATTTACAGGCAAAATGTGCAATCCCTGTTGTATGCCAGAACTTCTCAAACTGTGTTCTGCGAAGTGTTCAAGGATGTCCCGGGGTAAAGGAGAGCATTTATGATCAGTGAAGTGTGAGAAATGCTAGGTTGGAGACACTCAGCAGGTTTCTCTGCAGGACTTATCAGAACCTTTATTTTGCGAATGTCCATTGGGAGTTTCCTGATGGGGAATATAGCGTAGAGGAATTCCAAACGTATTTGGCAATAGAGTCATTCAACTCTGCTTTTTACTTACAAGCTTTTGAGGAGCAGATTGGGGGGGGGGGTGGTGAGGTTAAAAAATGAGGCTAAGGTAGGCTTGATCCCTTTCCCTGGACTTGTGGATCCTGGCTAGACCTTCCAACTTGACCTTAAGGGGTCCTGTGCTTCTCTGCCCTGCTGGCTCGAGGCGGCCCAAGTTTGGTTTTTCTCTCAAGGGACAACCAACCCTGTTCCCTTTAGTTTTTGCCACTGTCTTTCTCCCCCAAAGTCTGGGGCTTTGTACGCTTATTTCCTCCAGCTTCTGCTCCCCCCTAGCGTGAAGGGGAGGCTTGGCATCCACTGAGATGGCCTAGCCTGCTGGTTAAAGCTTGGGCTCAGGAGGCCAGACTCCCCGGGTTCAAATCCCACCTCGGCCGTGTGCAGCCATGTGACCCAGGGTGAGTCACTTAATGTCCCTCCTCTGGAAAGTGGGGTTAATAATAGTTTCCACCGTCCAGGGTGGTGGTGAAGGATCAGATGAGCTCATGCAAGTGAAGGGCTTAATTGCTCAGCTTGAGGGAGCAGCCGAGCACAGAGCGCTGTCTGCCGTGGTCCCTCGGAAGTCCCACCACGGGGCCTCGAGGCGGATGCCGCTGTTCAGCTCCTCATGGCACAGGGGAGGACGCCGAGGCCCCTGAGGGTGTGCGGCTCCCTCTTCTGGCGTCCGCCTGGGAACTCCTCTCCGTCTATGGTGGGGGGTGGGGTGTAGCCTGGTGGTCATAAGCTGCTGCCCAGAGTCAGGGCGAGGAGCAGAAGCTGTACCCCTGACCCCGGGCCCGTCTCCTCCCCGCCCGTCCCCTCCCACGCCGGGCACCGGTTGCTGGGCAGGGATGCCGCCCCCCGGGGACTTGGCCGGTCCGTCCAGGCACCGTACCTGCCACGGAGGCAAGTTTGGCCTGGCTGCCTGGGTCAGGGCAGGACCAGCCACTCAGCCCGCCAGGGAGGAGCCGAGGTATGCCGTGGCCAGTGGGGGCTGTGAATTTGGGGATCTTCTCGGGGATGAGATGAGAGGCAGGTGAGCCCGGCGGTTCTGAAACCACGGGCTCCTGGCTCTGCAGTTGTCCATCGGAATCCCCCCGGGGGTTCGTAGAGAATAGTGATTGCCGGCCCCCCCCCCCGCCCCCAGCACCGGGGCCTGGCCCAGGGCTGGCATGCTGGCCAAGCCGTGCCCTGTGTCCCGTTGGGGGGTACCTGCTGACCTGCTGGTAAGATGGCACCCAGGCCGAGCGCCCCGTTTGGGTTTCGGGTTTCACCCGCTTTGTGTTAAATGTCTGTACAGGTGCAACAGACGGGAGCCTGCCGGGGCGTCCGTGCGATCGGGGCTCTGTTTGCTGGCACCCCGCTGCTGTGTCACCTGCAGAAGCAGCCGGGTCCCTGCCCCCGCGGCTCTTGCTGAGCAGCGTAAAGTCCGTGAGCATCGCCACCTCCTGTGGCCCCCTCACCCCCCCCCCCCCGGGGCCAGCCGAGTTCCGGGCGTCTCTGGCCCTCGGGGAGGGGAGGGGAGGGGAGGGGAGGGGGCACCGGGTCAGGTACAGCATCTCGCCCTGGTCCAGACCCTAGCAGCATCTTGCAGCCCGCCGGGCGGCTGCCGGAACAGG